TGGGGGGGGGGGGGGTAATGTTTCTCTTTAAGGTGGTTTTTAAGGGTGCAAATCTCTCCTGAGAATTATGGAAACTCCTCTTGACTTTTCTGGACCTTTTCTTTTTCCAAAAATAGCCCCTTATTAGCCAAATTATTTGGGGTTTTTTTTTAACAAAAAGACAAAAAACAGGTAAAATAAAAATATAATGTGACAATATACGTTGTAAAAATACCAAATAAAGCACAACATACAAATATCAAATACATAAAAAAAGGTAACAAACGTAAAAATTCAGACAGTGAAATACATGAAATGGTGGTGAATATGCCCCAAAAAAACTCTCTGTAAATAAAGCAAAAAAGGAGATTTTGTCCCCCCAAATTTCACCTAAAAATCTCAAGAAGCAAAATTGAAAGTTTCTGCTTCTGCCAAATTCTTCTAGAATCAAATCCGTGTCTGACAACCAGCCAGCAGATTGTTACCATGTATTTTGCACATAAAATGTTATTCTAAAAGTATGGTAGAGCAAACAGGTAAATGTGCACTTCCAATGTACTTCCCTTTTTATATACATGTGAACATGATCAACTTAATGTAGATAATCTTAGCCATGTGTGTTAATGTAAAAATCTCAGCCCTACCTACAGTTTGTAATTGTATGTATATAGAGGTAGCCATATTTTCTTACTCCAAATACAGACTCTGCTTCTTGCTTATTAGTGATCTGCAGAATCTGCATTACTGTTCCTCTTTCCAAAGTAAGTCAGTTGGTCTTCTCAGAATGACTAGGTGACTAGTTGATATTGATGTGGTGGGTTTTTAGAAGGGGTGTTGACCATACTTTCTGTTATACAGATATTCACCAGATGGAAACTTTACAATAACTTTATAAGGCAGAGATGGTCAATTTACAAGGTATGCAGGGCCTCAACCATGGCCCCTGACAGCTCCAAAATGCCACACAACATCCAGTCCATGACAGTAGACTTTCAGGGACTTTAGACATACTAGAAGAGACAGCCAGAGACTAAAGATATATAGCAAGAGTTGTTGAAGAAAAAGGCACACTTCAGGAGACTGTGGACATGAGACTGCCATTACAGCCTCTTTACAAATGGATGCTCCCATTACAGACGTTTGGGGTCTACAAAAGGTAGCATAGCAAGAACCAAAGGGCAGCAAGTTGGGTACCAGGGTTATATAGCCTATTGATAAGGAAGTTGTTTAAATGATGCCATTTTACAAGATATTTTCTCCAAATAGTAAAAAGCACTATTCAAATGTGCTGAATATGATTTACTAAGTTGACTTAAAAAATGTTGAATTTACTCTAAAGTTAATGAATAGAAAAAGGCTTCAATTCCATAAAGTGCAAAACAAAACCACCAAACAGGTGAACAGTTACTTTGCTAAGTGAACATTATTCACACATTTAGTAAATCAACCTCTATGTAATGGTCAAATGTGAGCCCAGCATCCAAGTGCTACTGGGCAAAGTACAAATGCTGTGCTGTAGTGCTGCTCAAGTCATTAGACCTGTTTTCATCTAATTCCAACTCAGCTCCTTCTTATATTCAGTGCTTGCATCATTTTGTTTTATGAACGTAAAAAGTCAGGTCATGACAAAACCCGACCAATGCCTTCTGTCAGCATCACAAAGACCATGACTGATCCTGAACACATTTCCAAAGCTCAGGGTAAAACCCTATTTATTGACACAAAGTAACATATGCATTCTGTACAGTAGATAAGTTGAGGTTGTGCTGCAAAGAATAAGGTGAAAAAATCGTCCAAGCACAAGGTCTATTGCCAAAAGCCAAAAAGTATTGTGCAGGTCATTCATAACCAGTCGAGTCCACCGTTATAAAATAATTACGCCAGATGTTAACAGGTTATTTTATGACTTTGGGATGATATTTCAATTAGAAAGATCCAAAAAAGATTCAAACCTCCCAGACTGCTCATTAAGAATAGAATTAACACATCGGCTGTTGTGTCCAACATAATACAATGAACCAGCTGGGTAAATATTTAAAGTGAGAGCCCAATCAAAGAGACAAAATTGCCCCCTAGACTCCAGAACTAAAACTGTATCCCATCTGACAATTTGCATGCTTTTAAATGATCATATTTCTGTACTTTTGACTTGCTAAATACCAATTATGTGTACAATGTGTCCAACATAATACAATGAACCAGCTGGGTAAATATTTAAAGTGTGACTATATCCAAAAATAAAAACTTCCAAGTATTTCTCCAGTAAAATACATACAATTGTGGAATTCCACTTATTAAAATCTCTTTTTCTTTAAAACATACCAGATGATCCTGTGATTTCTCAGGACTTCCTCCAGGCAGAGGACAATACTGCAGCACCTGCAGTGAACTCACTGCAACTTTGTTGTCCTCAGCAGCTATAGTGGGCTGCAAATGCTACGCATGTTGAGAAGGAGAGTTATTAGTGTTAGCATCACTAACAACCTTTCCACCCATTGGCGTTGGCTATGCAATCCAATAAAATGGCCACGGTCTAGAGGAAGTGACACAGGGCACCCTTTTGGGTCTGTGCTGGCTCTGGCAGGCTGAAGACTTCAGTGGCCCCTGCAGAGGAGGATTTTGCGCCACTTAAGAAAAGAGAAAGCAAAAGTGGTTTGCTTTTCCTGGGAGAGACAGTTATCTTAAACACAATATTGGGCAGAGACTTTATTACCAAACTTTTGAAAAGTTTAGTGGTTTTGTACATATTTTCTTGATTTATTACGATTAAGAATAAAACAGTCTTTGGTCTGAAAGAGAATGAAGTTGAAGAGGGAATTTTGATTCTGGCATTTTTTACCATTTTTCTATATTTACTTTATCTTTTTTCCCATATTTTTCACCTGTCATCTCTTTACTATAGTTTTATTTATTTTTTAATTTCAACTTGACCTTATAAAGTGCAGAAATATGTAGCAGTAAAGTAGCTTTAACTGCTGAGCAACCCGAAATAATTATTTTCCTGATCTATATAATAGGTCTCTTACAAGTTTAAATGTATTAATGTTATTGTCAATGTCAATGTTCCCCAATAATTAAGTTTCTTCCATAATTTTTCTTAAACAGTGCCAATTGATTATCTATAACACATCATAACTGACATTTTCCATTTTGATTGCTTTTGTTACATTATTGGATTTGTAGTTATATCTGGCATTTCAACAGATAATAAAGCACAAATGAAAAATACTTCAGTTTGCAAATAAGCAGCCATTGACCTATAGTGGACAAACAAAATATAGGAATAGCACTTACCCACTGAAGAATCTAGCAGCAGATAATACATGTTACTTTAAGACACTCACCCACTAAGAACTACAATAAAGTCCATGACGTTCCAGCCATTGCGGAGGTAAGAACCTTTGTGAAATACCAGTCCTAGGGCAACAACCTTAATTCCAGCTTCAAAGCAAAATATCCCTATGAAATAGGGTTCAGTCTTCTCCTGCAGGCAAGAAGGGAAAAACAAACAAACAGACATGTCTATGAAGGTTTTCTGTTTTCAGAGGAAAAATAGATACAATTATTACAAGAAACTTATATTGTATTTTCAGGGACCTCATATTTTTCATTATTTTTACAGCATTGACCATAAAGTAAATATAAACCTAATCACTAAAATATCATCTAAGCATTAACATGCTATTGTCATTTCAAAAGTTGTTTTCAATATTTTTAAATCTGCAGCTTTTATTTAAAGGGTTTCTAAACCCTTTAACATCCCTGGCGGTATGATTATGTCAGGAATTTTGTACCAAAAGAGGTACATTGTTTTGCATGGAAATTTGGTGTTATCTGTTGTAGGCCTGTAATTCTTAGTAAATCTTAGGAATAACTCACCTAAATCTGTCCAAACAAGAGTCCAGTAGACATCCCAGGTATGATAAAGTTTGAAACACAAAATTAAAAAATTATAATATAATGCTGTGACGCTCGAAGACGAAACTAAAAGTCAGATGCCGGCTTTTAGTTTCATTTTCGGGCCGCGTACAGCAGAGGACGCAGCGGGATCGCAGGAACAAGGTGAGTGTCACTTTTCTCTGCAACCCCGAGTCTGGCTCGGGGTTACCGCTCCTAGCATGGAAAATTCACCCCGAACCAGACTCGGGAGAACAGCCAGGGAGGTTAAGCAAGCAGTAGATATATGCAAAAAGTAAAAAAAAAAATGATTTAAAAGCGGTTTAAACTTACCCCTGTCTTCGCCGCGCGCTCCCATCCGATAATCCGAAACTGCTCTGGTGGTCGCAAAGCATCCTGGGGCGGGCGCATGCGCAGTTTGGATTTTCGGCCGGGAGACGAGGAGAGACGCAAGGTAAGTCTATAGACGTGTGCACGCGCATGCAGACACCGTGGGGCAGGAAGTGCCAGCAAGGACAGATGGAGCTTGCTGTCTCCACTGATGGAGACAACAAGCTCCCCTGGTGGAAACTACAGGTGGCTGGAAAGATACATTGCAAAGACAAGGTCCACCATTGTCACTATCAAGTAGCCGGTCTATAGCAATGATGAACAGTTGAAGGTGGAGCAAGTGCATGTATACAGGAAGTGCCTGTAAAAGGATTTAAAAAATCAGCAGCACCGACATGCAAAAATAATGATAATTGTTTATTACACATAGTGCTTTCTTGATATTGTGTTAAACAGAATTGTAGATTGATCACTAGAGAGAACAAACAATCAATTGCAATCCCTCTGCCATCTAAAAAAAGTTATACTCACCTGATGCTCCAAGCCAGCTTGCTCTTAATCTGGTCCTTCTAGCCTCTCTCCCCCTCCACTGCAGCAGTCTAAGGTCCCGTAAATTATCACATTCTATGCAAGTGTATAGACGTGAAGACGCTGAGGAACATTCCAATGTTGCAGTGTAGGAGACAGGCTTCAGAGACCAGAGAAGCAGAGAACAATTTGGGTGAGTATAACTTTTATAGCACCTACACAAAATTAGCAGTTAACCCTTGCAGTGCTGAGGTAACCCCACTTCAAATGGTAATAAAAATTTGCCCGGGGATCTTCTTTAACACCCATTGAGATAAGGCATCAGCCACACAAGGAGTTCATTGCTTTCAATCAGTCAGCGGCTTATAGAGGGTCTAACTTTCATCAAAGTTTTATGTATTTTCCACACAAAATTTAGTTTAAAAAATGTGTGACGTTTGGGTGAAAACATTAATAAATAGACCCCATAGACTTGCATTGTGAGAAAGAGCCTTAAAGCACAACTGTTGTGTAGCAGTGCACAACAGGAAGCACAGGAAGCAGAGTCGGAATATGTATTAGGCCAAATATGGCTGTGTACATATATATTTAAAATGATCAAGTTGATCTTTGGTACATTTGTATCTAAAAACATAAAAAGCCAATACATACTTTCTAACATAAGCAGAATGCACAAATAAAAGGTATACCTTCATTCATGTAATTTTACCGAATGACTGGTTGCTTCTATAATAGTCAATATAACCGAGCACCATTAGAATTATGGAGACTTCACATCCATTTTCTCCTTTCACTGTATGACACTTCAAGTCTGCCGGGTGCATAGATTTGATGTTTTGTTCCTATCTGTGGCTATTTCATCTCCTTACTAGGTCAGATCTGAGTAAACTTGGACCAGGAATAAGCTACCAAGATTCAAAGAGACACTCAGGGAGGTGGGTGGATGGGGTCCAACAAACTAGATTTACAGTGAACCCCTCTCAACAAATCAGCAAGCACTCACATTTGTAACTTTATCCTTTTCAAAACGTTCTCTCAAGAGCAAGTCTGTCACTGTCTGTTGTGTCACTTTTGGTGACTTATAATGTACCCATTTTAATAAATTATTAAACATATAATGATTCATGTTGAAGTTCTGTGACCTTGGTAAATGTAGTTTGTCTGTGGCCTCAATTCTATGGTCATTGAACTTGTAACAATACATCTGGATATACTTATAGTGTACTGTACAAGATACAATTCCCCTTATGTTATTATCATTCTCATCCATATGTGTTCTCATTCTGTACCATCCTCTGCCCCTGGCTCTTTTTATATTGAACATATATGTCTAATATTGCTGTTGTTGTTATAGGACATAGAATAGTTACATCATTTTTACCTCCAAGATGGAGTTGGATGGCAATTACTCAGAGTAGACTTGGTTTACATCAAATCAAGAATAAACACGTTTCCTACCACAGCAGCCAAGCCATATGGGAACCCAGATGGAATGATTTGTTCAAATCTAATACTGGTTAACATTGCTGTTCTAGATGTACCTTTGGTTATAGTAATTGGGAATTGAGAAGGTACCATACTATATTTAACTAGATAAAATGAGAGGACAGATCTGGTGCTCCTAAAACCCTCATACCAAGTCCAAAAACTAAAGGGTCTATTCACTAAGCTGCCGAGTGAATGACCGTCCTGAAGTGAAGTGAGTCGAACACTGTTCGGCTATTCACTTCTAGCTGGTACGGCTGATTTCAGCCGTATATCGACTGATATCAGCCGTACATCGGCTTGCTTCACATGGCTTCGGGTCGGCCTGACCCGAAGTGCAGAAGGAGTTCGACGCAGCCGATCCAACATCTGGATCGGCTGAGCCGAACCTCCGGCAGGCTACTCGCTGCTGTTCGGCCTATTCTAATAGATGCCGAACAGCAGTGAGTGAATAGCCGAATGCCGCTGAGCGGCATTTGGCTCGGCTGTTCTGCTCGGTCCTTCAGAGGGACCGAGCAGAACAGAAAAATAGTTAAAAATAAAAAAAAGTAAATAGAAAACGATTGTGCGGAGCTAGCAGTGACAGCTAGCTCCGCCCAACAGTTTTCTATTGTCCGGCGGTTCTGCTGCCGTTAAAAAAATATCTCCCGGGTGCTCTGGGAGTCTCCCGCTCCCGGCCGCCCAGGAGAGAAACACTGATTTTTCTTTCTTTTTCTTTATTCTGACACGGAGCCGTGTCAGAATAGAAAAAAATTAATGTTTTTCCCCATTGGAATGCATTGCTAGATTCCTATTGGCTATTTCAATTTGCAGTAGCCAATAGTAAACTAGCATTGGACCCGCCCTCTGCTGATGGACCTGATGGAGAACTGCAGCAGAGGGCGGGTACAATACTAGTCTACTATTGTCTAGTGCAGATTGAAATAGCCAACAATAGGAATCTAGCAATGCATTCCAATGGGCAAATTTTTTTTTTCTATTCTGACACAGCTCCGTGTCAGAATAAAAAAAAGAAAAAAGAAA